CAAACGGCGGCTGTGGGCATCGTCAGAGCCGTTCGCGGCTGTTCCGGGGTTCCTGTGGGGTGTGGCGGGCTGCAGCTGCCCTTCAGGTAGTGTGGCCGCACGGTCTCCCGGCCAGCACAGAGTGGACGGCAGCGGCGGGCCGCCTTCTGGGGGCAGCGTTAAGAGCAGCTCCCCACATTCTCTTCCCCTGGCCACGGTGATCTTGGAAGAGGTGGGCTCTGCCAGCCCGGGTCCCCGCGTGACTGCACCTGCTGCATGTGCAGCAAGGCAGAGAAAGCGAGCTTTGCTGTCTTTAGCCACTGAGCTCTGGGGGTGGCTTGTTACGCAGCACGGCCGAGTCCGTCCCGCCTGGTTCACCGGCTCCCAGCCAGGGCAGAGCTTAAGTTGAAAGCAACTTCACTTGCGCCAGCACGCAAATATCTCACGGCACAGATATGTCCCATATCACAGCCACTCCGTAAGCATCGACTGTGGACCACTGAGTGCTTTACAGTCACACCTTTGTTTTTCAAGACAATAACTTTCAGATGGAGAAACTGAAGGAGTGAAAAGCTGCAGAGCTTTCCCAGGGCCCAGAGCTCGCGAGGACCAGCGCTGGGATTCAGCCGGGGCGCTTCTGTCTCACTCGGAAGTCCATGCCCGTCCTGCCCCTGTGCAGCCCCCTTGGAGTGGGGGTGGCTGCCAAGCCACTCTTGCTCTCTCTGCGAGTCCTGAGGCCTGGGTCAGGCTCTCAGGGCTGGGGTCCTGCCCCAGGCCCTCTCCATGCCTGTGCCTCGGCGACCTGTGTCAGGAACAGGAGCCTTCCAGGAGCCGCACCTGGCTGGGCAGCAAGAGCCCCACCCTGGCGCGGCACGCTGCCGGTGGCCGGTGCCATGAGGTGCATGGCAGTTTGGGCTCACAGTGCCCTGGGCGAGGGCTCCCACCTGTGGGCCGGGCAAGACCTTCCCAGATCCACACCACCATAAGCATTTCCTGCAGACTAGAGCAGTAACACCCACGGAGCATGGTCGTTTCTCACATGTATGTAAGTGCGTTGGTAATGACCAAAATGCAAATTCATGTAAAGGCATTGTTGAATTCCTAGTAGTTTTTGTTGTCATCTATTCTCTTAATCAACAGATCCGAGAAGTATAATGAGCACTGCGTGGGGCCTGGCAGGGGAAACAGGATGTTGAAAAATGAGTCCTAGTGGAAAAGGTTAGGCGAGGTACTGTCCCCAGCTGAGATGGGGGTGGTTTGAGAGGCCCAGAAAGGGGTCCGGGAGGAGCTTGGGGAGGGCCTGGTCCGAGGCGTGTGTGTACAGGACAGTAGGGACCAGGCCGGAGGTGGTGACTGGAGGGGAGGGCTGTGTGGAGGAGGAAGACTCGGGTGCTGTTCGGCCCTGCCCAGTGTCACGAGCCGCATGGTGCCGCAGCAGCGGAGGAGGCAGAGAGGGGGCCCAGCCTTGCCAGCCAGAGGAGATGCTTGGTCCCCTGCGATTACCAAGGTGCTGGAGCCTTCGGGATCACATCCTGAGAAATCTTAGGTGGTGGGGAGAGGGCGTTCTGGGGAGATGATAATTAAGAAACAGCTTGTGGCAAAGAAGCTGCAATACAAACTGTGGCAGGCTGCACAATTCAAGAACGGCATGGTTTATGGCCTGCCCTCTCGCCTCTGAAGCTCTAACGTACATTTCAGAGGCCTCTTGGAGCCAGAGGTTTGGTGCAAGTACCATTCTGTGTCTTTGCAGTGCCCAAGGGAGCATTTTTTAATCTATTAGAGCTGAGAGGACCCGAAAAACATTTAAAACCGCTTAGGCTGTAATGTGCAGGAGAAATGTGGCGTTTCTCACGTGGCTGAGGGCCGTGCATCAACTGGGGCCATCCAGGCCGGGAAGGTACAAGCTTATTTTCCAAGGGGAAAAAATGGAGCTTAAAATCTATTCTAAAAATGACTCAAGGGCCGTAGGGTGGAGCACACTCCTTGTGCGGCTCCCTGGCTCGGTGGGATCAAACTGAACGCCGGGGACTTCACACATCACCTTCCCAGCCGTGGCCCAGATACGTGGCTTTGGAGAGCTCTGCCTGCCAGGGAAGGCTGGATTTCCAGAATCAGAGAGCAATATCTCATATTCCTCAGTCACAGAAACTTATTTCAGGGCTGATTTTATCCTTTCAGAGGGGATTTCCCCCCTTTTTTCTTAACATTTAAAATCTCCCAACATTTCTCCAGCTCGAGGACCAAATACGATTTGAATACAGCGATTATTAGTTTAGAAGCCCTTCAGCCACCGACAAATGCACTTAGCAGCACCAGCTACGTTCTGATCTTGCGTCAAGGCGGGAGAAACACGGGAAAGACGACTCAAGAAGCTGCGTCGCTAGAAGGGCTGCCGGGGGAGGCAGAGGCTGCTTGTCCCTCCCACCCCAGCGGATCCTGACTTCTGGCCAGCAGGCGGGTGCGCGGGCAGGGTCAGCGACTGCTCCAGCAGCCCCTCCCGGGAGCGCTTCGCTCCTCGGACCTCACCTCTTGACGCTGCACCCTGGATCTCGGATATTGCTGAACACTCAGACCCACCCACACATTTCCCACCCCGACACCCCACCCCACACCTGCTGCCTTTCTCTAAGCAGGGCAACCCCCCACCCATCGTGTGCAGGAGGCCTGGGAGCCAGTGGTTAGCCTGGAAATTTTATGGTTGCAAGAAGGAACGGTTTTTTTTTTTTTTTGAGACAGAGTCTCACTTTGTTGCCCAGACTAGAGTGAGTGCCGTGGCGTCAGCCTAGCTCACAGCAACCTCAAACTCCTGGACTCAAGCAATCCTGCTGCCTCAGTCTCTCGAGTAGTTGGGACTACAGGCATGCGCCACCACGCCTGGCTAATTTTTTCTATATATATTAGTTGGCCAATTAATTTCTGCTCCAAGGCACCAACCTCTTCGGCGAGAACGCAAGCAAGGCCCTTGCCCAGCAGAGGGCAGCAGCACACACCTCGGGCCGCCGATGCCCAGAGAGATTAACTCTGCTGGAAAACTAAAGCCAGCACCCCGCCGCCCAGTGACCAGGGGACATATTCTGGGAAGTGTCCTGGGTCTGCCCAGGATTTGCCCAGACCTGTCCCCAGAGAGCCCAGATGGCAGCTGAAGATTTCCTGCCTGTACTAGCTCAAAGTCCCCAAGGTTGGAGTCTCCCCGCCAACGTTCCCTCTCCTTTTGCCACTGCCCCTGCCCTGTAAGAGGGTCAGGGGCCGAGGAGGAGGTGGGGGTGGTGCTTGGGACACCTCTGAGCAGAGCCAGCGTGGTCTCACCCTCCCACCCAGGCCCCACGCCCTCTTCAGCTGCCAGCTGGGTGCCCTGGCACCCAGGTGAGGAAGAGTAACTAGGACGAGGAAGAGCACTATGGATGTGGCACTGGGTGCAGCCCTGGCCCCAGAGCCCTTTCCAGCCCCTCCCCCTTCCGCACCCACCTTTCCCCTCCCGCACCCACCACTGGTCTCCTTCCCCAGTGACCCAGTGCTCGTAAAGGTACTGCTGTCCCCGCGGCTGCTGGCGAGCAAGACAGCAACCAGCCGGCTCTCCACTGGAAAGCAGGTGCACAGGGCGGAGGCCCAGGAGGCCCAGAGGCCACAGGCCCTTAGCAGAGGAGAGGCTGTCCAGGCCCTGGGAAGGAGCAGGGAGGGGCAGGAGACCTGGTTCCGCCCCAGACTCCCGGTCCCTTCCCCTCTGGCCTCACTTCCCTGTCTTCGCTGAGCACTGTGTGACCCCACCTTGGGGACAGCTGGCCCTTCAATTCAGCAAGGCAACGAGGTGGGGGAGGGGCAGGCCCAGACGCTTCCACATGGAACGTGATCTCAGAGGCGCCCTGGCTGGACACTGGGACACCGGAGCACTGGGAGCGTCCAGGGGCAGCTGTGGGACTGAGAACGGGTCTGGAGGCAGGTGCTCCTGGGACATGCCCATCTGTGAGTGGGACAGTGGTTTGGGGCTGGGAAGAGCCTACAAGGCTCATTGTGGCGGGGAAGGGGGTGCTGTGATGTCCATAAATTACTTCAAGATACTTGAGCCTTAGCGTATTTGATGAAGCATATGTGGCAGAACTCAACAACTATGGAATCCAGGAACAGGATATGCAAGTGTTTGTGATCTCATTCCCTCTACTTCTCCCTGTATCCTTGAAGTTTTTAATAAAAAAAAGGTTAAAAAAATAAACTGGTAGTTTTTAAAAACTGTGAAGGCCTGAGTCCCACCCTGTGGGATCCGAGTCTCTGGGAAGGGGCTGGTGTGGGCGGTTTTAAGGCCCCCAGGAATGCTGAGGGCCACAGGGCAGGCTCCGGTCTCGGGTCCACTCGGGGAACTAGAAGAGCCATGGGGAGATGGGGCCACCAAGATTCTGCCACTGCCCAGGGCAGCAAGGGCCACCACCTGGTGGTGACATGCCTCTGACACCCATGGCCCCCATCCGGTTGACCGCCCCCATCACCCTGTGCGGAGCCCCAGGCCCCAAGCCCCAGGCTGCTGAGTGGGCGCTGACGTCATCGCCCGGGAGGAAGGGCGGGGCGGCTGGACAGGACGTGCTGTTCCTGGGGCCCAGGGTTGCTGCCGCCTTCCTCGGACACTTGCCTCTGTTAAGGGCTGGCCCAGCCTGGAGTGGAATTGTCGGCTCCTGCCCACCCTCCTGGCACCTGCCCTTGACCCCTGGCTTCCTCTGCAGTCCCAGCCCACCCCCCAGCTCTCCCTGTCCACGCAGGGGCCAAAGTTAGCGTGTCTGGGGACGCTCCAGGAAGGAGAGGGTGGGAATTACCTACGGGAGGAGAGGTGGAAGAGAAGCAAATGCCGGAACTCCCGTATTGGGGGAGCCCCAACATCCAGGGCTGCCCCGCCGCACACGGGGGCGCAGACCCACACCCGACGCTGCCACCTCCACAGGCAGGCTCCCAGCAGCCCCGATGGAGGCGAGACCCTGTGGCGTGGGCAGGCCTGGTGGCCATGAGCCCCGCCCTCCCCTCGCTCGGGCAGCACTCACCAGGGCCTCCCTCTGGGGTCGGGGAGGGTCCCGCAGAAGGGGTCTCGTTGCAGGGCTTGGCTGCAGGCGTCAGTGAAGGCAAAGCCTCTCCTGCGTGGAGTGCCCACTCACTGTCCCCTAGAGCCCTGGCTGGACAGGTCTGCACAGGGGGCCGGGCTGCCAGTGGCCTGGGGAGGGAAGGGTCACCTGACCCTCTGGGGAGCACCGGCTGGACTGGCGTGTCCAGCTGTCATCTGGGTGTTCTGCTGCTCTGGGGCAGGGCCAGAGGGGCTGGGAGGGCGGGGATGAGGAGGAGGAGAGAGGAGGGGAGGAGCAGGAGTGGTCGGAAGGGGAGGAGAGTTCCGCTCAGCGGCCTGGGTGGATGTCAGGCCCTGGGTATTTTTTGTTCTAAAGAAAAGGGGTAAGTCGAGAGTGGGGGTCATGCTCTCCCTTCCTGTGGTGTCTCAGGGCTTCGCCTTCCCAGCGACGGACTGTAGTTTGAGAAAGCAGGCGAGGCAGCGGTCAGTGTGGCCCTTGTGTGGCGGACCCTCCGCTCGGCTGACCAGGGAGCCCCCTAGACAAGTGCCTGTTGAGAGGGGATGATAGCTGGGGCAACTGCATTGCAAGTGTTTGGCGGGAGAACCTGGGGCTTAGGCGGGGCAGGGGTGGCGTCCTGGGGGAAGTGACCAACCTAGACCTGAGGAGAAATAGGGTCATCTGGGTGAGGAGGGGGAGGTGGGGAGAAGAGGCCTAGAGGGGAGTGGCCTCAGGGCTGGAAGCACGCAGGGATGGGGAGCAATGAGGGAGGGGTGGGTCGAGGAGGGGCCTCACAGGCCTGTGTCCCTAGCTTTGGGGAGGAACTAAAGCGCTTTATGCCAGGAGGAGTCCGGCTGGGGTCTGAGTGTGGAGCTGTCAAAGGCAGGCAGACAGGCGCTATCTCCCGGTGGGTCCTCCCTGCTGGGGAGGGCAGCGGGCAGGGAAGGAGTGGCGAGCTCCTGAGAACTCAGGGGTCAGGCTGGACAAGGTCTGGTGGCTGTGGACGGGGAGAGGCGGGTGCAGGAAAAGGAACCTTCCTCAAGGTTCAGGCCTCTGGTCTGAGTGACCCCGGATCAGTATTAGGAAGGTCTGGAGTCAGCCCTTTGGGCAGCTCAAACTCCCCTGGACTTCCGCCCAAGTTCCCCTGGGCACTGGGTGCCCACCTGCCTTCCTGGGCTTCTCCTGTGCGTGTGACCAGCTCCCCTCGGCCCGCACACCACTCAGGCCCAGCCTGCCCCTCGTCCGGTCCAGCCTCTCTCTGGACCCCCTCCCCCAGCTCCTGGCCCCGCAGACCTGTTGGTGCAGCACTGAGGCAGGACTAAAACCCAGGTCTCCTGGCCCTCGTGCACCAGCATCGCCCGCTCGGTGCCCTCTGTACCTACCGGGCCGGCATGGCAGGAGCCCTCAGCAGATGTGTCAGCAGCAAGAGAGTGAGGCGGGAGGGAAGGCCGCCTGCCTGCCCAGCTGCCCTGCCGGTGGCTTGCCACCTTCCCACTGCCACGGCTAGTCCTCCCACACCTGGGCAGGGTAGGGCCCCGAAGGCATGTCAGGGGTTCCTGGGGGTGGGATCCCATGCATACTCCCAGCCCCCACCTGCAGCCCCCACCCCCAGCCCAGGGTGGCTGATCACATGTCGCCAGGGAGGGCAGATGGCCTCTGTGTGCACGAGCCCTCCCACTGCCCCGCTGTGTGCCAGGCTCCGGTTACCTGGCCCTGGACGAGGGTGTGACCTCCTTTCCCCAGCCCTCCCCCACCTCCCCTGTGTCCATCCGCTGGACTCAGACCCCTGTTCTAGGAACTCTAGAACCACATGGGGCTGAGCCAGGAGACTGTCAGGGGTCAAGAGGGGAAGGGGCTTCCTGACCGAGAAGACAGCCAGCAGTGGGCTGGCACCCGGTCTCCGGGAGGGCTGATTCCCACTCCACTGCCTGCTTTCTGCTTTCGTTTCCTTGTCAAGAGAGAGGTTCATACTGATTTCTTATTCACCTATTTATTTAACAACAATTTTGAGCCCCTAATATGTGACTTGAGACATACAGCGGGAGACAAAACTCCCAGGGCCCTGCTGCCAGAGCTTTCCGTTTTGTAAGCGAATAGAGCGCTTTATTTCTGTGTCCTGACTGCGGCCAAGTTCTCTCCATGGTCGTTTTTCCAAAGCCCACTTCACTTCCAGGGTGCCTGCTGCTATGCCTCTTTCCACAGCCACCTCTGGGACTGCCTCTGCCCGGATGGCAGCTCCTCGGTCACCCTCTGGGCCTGGCTCCCCTCTCCTACTCCAGGCGATCCGCAGAAAGTGCATGGGCGCAGAGGTGCGTGCTGCTGTTTGCGGCCCTCCCCGCCAGGCGCAGGGTGGCAGGGCCTGGCTGGCCCCTCAGCCCCTCCCGCCCAGTCTGGACTGGGCTTTGGGGGCAGCCTGTCCGCTGCCCTCCCCACTGTCCGTCCATCACCCTGTCCTGTGTGGCTCACGTCCCAGACGTTTCTCTAGCTGGCCCCTGCCCCCACCTCCACAGCCCCCGCCTGGCCACCATGCTGGCCCCTGCCCCCACCTCCACAGCCCCGCCTGGCCACCATGCTGGTCCCTGTCCCCACCTCCACAGCCCCCGCCTGGCCACCATGCTGGCCCCTGCCCCCACCTCCACAGCCCCCGCCTGGCCACCATGCTGGTCCCTGTCCCCCACCTCCACAGCCCCCGCCTGGCCACCATGCTGATCCCTGTCCCCCACCTCCACAGTCCCCGCCTGGCCACCATGCTGGCCCCTGCCCCCACCTCCACAGCCCCCGCCTGGCCACCATGCGGTCACGGGAGCTCCCGTAGCTCCTTAGTGTCCTGGCTCTCTTTGTAAACCCACCGTTCCCCCCAAATGATGTTTTGAAATGGGGATTTGGATCATGTCAGGTCCCTGCTTAATATTCTTCAGTGGCTCCCTGTCCTTAGAATAAATTCCAAGTCCCTCCCCAGTCCCGCCTCACGTGGCACCCTCTTGCCCCACCCCTCAGCGGCCCAGCCACACCCTTGTTGTTCTTTCCTACTTCAGCGCCCTTCCCTCGCCCCTCCACCTGCTAACTCCTCTCTACCCGTGAGATGCCAGCTGGAGCCTCACCTCCAGAAGCCCTCCCTGACCTCTCTGGCATCGCCCACCGTCCAGATCTTTCTTTAGAAGCACTTTTGCCAGATGAAGTTGCGTGTTTACTTGTGCCATGACTCTCCTCCTTGAAGACGGTGACTTGGCTCACTTTGCTCAACACTATGTCCTCAGAATGTTCCAGCACCAGCCTTCCAGAACATGTTTGTGAATGAACGAATGAATGAATGGACACATGGACTTGTCCGGGTCTCTGGCTCTCCCTCCCAGCCTCTCGGTGCTTGGGCTTGCCCAGCAGGGCTCCCTTCCCCTCCTGGCCCGGTCAGCATGGCTCTGTGGCAACCCCGCTCAGCAGCCGCCCTGTCCCTGCTCCCGAGACCCAGGGTGCTGGCCGTGGAGACAGCCTCCCCATTCCAGGGCATGTCGTCACCCCTTACCCTGGTGTACGAGCGGGCGGCTGCCACAGACCTGCCCAGGTTCCGGTGAGAGCCCTCCTCCCGTGCTGGTCCCCTTGCCGTGCCCCAGCTTGGCACAGCGCCGTCCCCTGCCCTCCCACCCCGCCCGCCCTAGGCAGGACGGGACACACCCCGGGAGAGGTCACTGTCCAGCCCCTCTCAGTCAGGGCAGGCCTCAGGGCCGGCGGCTTGTGGCCATGCTGGCCTGACCCGCCCAGCCCCAGCCCCGCAGGGACTCCCAGCCCGGGCGCTGGTCCGCTCAGGGCTCTGCACCAGAGCCGCTGGGCCGCGGGCTGCCGCCCAACAGCAGGAGGGCCCGGCCCAGACCTCTGCACCCTCTCCCTCCCTCCGCAGCCGCGGCCGCCCCAGGGAGCCTGCGTCTGGGCCCATGAGCCGCACACGCGCCAACCCGGAGCTGACAGGCCCTCTCTGCAGGCAGGCGGAGGCTCCTGGAATGCGGCAGCTGTCGCCACTCGGCCCTGGGAACAGGCGCCCTCCGCGGGCAGGGTGCGTGGGAGGGCGGCGGGTGTGAGGGGGAACACTGAGGGCCACCACAGCCGCCCCACGCCAGCAGCAGGAGCCGCTACCGCGGCGGGCGCCATTGGTGCCGGCCCTGCTCTCGGCTCCTCCCGCGCCTTGTCGCGTTGATCCTCCAGACAGCCCTGTCGGGGAGAGCCCTCGGTCACACAGCTCGCAAGTGCGGGGCGGGATTTGAACCTGGAGCCCCCACTCCCCTCACGCCCGATCTTATTATTGGGCAGCCCCACAGCCACGCGTCGGCCCCCGACACATCCCTGACAGGGGAGAGCCGGCCCCACCCTCCGCTCCCAGCCAAGCCTGCGGAGGCCGGCGGGAGGGCGGCGTGGCCGGCGGCGCATGCCGACACTGGGCCGGCGGGGAGGGCGGCGTGGCGGCGCGCATGGGACACTGGCGCGGCGAGGGCGGCGTGGCGGGCCGCGCATGGGACACTGGGCCGGCGGTAGAGGCGGCGTGGCGGGCCGCGCATGGGGACCACTGGCTGGCGGGAGGCGCGCGTGGCGGGCGGGAGGCGGCGTGGCGGGCCGCGCACGCGGACACTGGGCCGGCGGGAGGGCGGCGTGGTGGGCCGCGCACGCGGACACTGGGCTGGCGGGGAGGGCGCGTGCGGGCGGAGGGCGGCGTGGCGGGCCGCACGCGGACACTGGGCGCGGCCGAGGCGGCGTGGGGGCGTGCACGCGGACACTGGGCCGGCGGACGACGCCGGCGGAGGCGGGTGCGCCGGGGGACTGCCCGGGCGGCCGTGCGCGTGCACATGGAACTGTGACTCGTGGTACGCCCGTGCGGGACGGTTTGAGGGCGTCGTGGCGTGCCGCGCACGCGGCACTGGGCCGGCGGGGAGGGCGGGTGGCCGGCCGCGCACGATGCGACACTGGGTGCGGTAGAGCGGACGTGCCGTCGCATTCTGTGGGGCCTCCGCACGCGACACTGGGCCGGCGGGAGGGCGGCGTGGCCGGCCGTGCACGCGGACACTGGGCCGGCTCGCCCAGCAGCGCTGGGTGACAGTCCATGCCCCCAACTCACATCGGGCAGAGGCCCCGAGAAAGGACGCCCTGCCCAGGGCCACATGGGACCTGGGACCTCCGGACCCCAGACAGCTCTCGAAGGGCAGGTTCTTGTGGGGTTTCGATCCGCGCGAAAGCCGTTGTG